AGTAGTCCGCCATAGCCTCGGCCTATGTATGTGAAGAGTGGGGGAGGCGGCCATGGCTATGGTGGACCTTGAGTGATACCTGCAGTAGAAAAGGGACTCGGACATGATTCTGGACCAGTCATTCAACATTGTATTATTATTTCTTGTTTGAATAAGAGAAGGGGGAGATAAGGAGGAGGAGATTGTTGGGCGAAGAAGAAGAGCCCTGTCATCATCTATGCCGGTGTACATCTTCTTCTTCTTCTTTCTCATTTCTGCTTCTTCTTCTACTCCTCTCTCTCCTCTCAAGTTCATTCATTTCTTTCTGCAATTGGATGGCATTGTCCTTCTCAGTGGATGTGTATCTCGACATTGGCCAGGGTCATAACACAGTAGCAAAGCATGTAATCACTGACCTTCATCTTTGTCTGTGCAGGCCTACTTGTAATGATTGCAGCTTTGAGAACCTTCAGTGGAGACCTTCTGACCTATTGGAGGGAGAGCGCATCAGGAATCAACCGGGTATGTACTGATTTTTTTCTATTTTCTTTTTCTTTTAAACAAAAGAAATGCGAGCACTGAGCCCTCACGGGGCACTAACAGATATGCAAGTGTTCTCGGCTGTGGGCCCCAGCAAGGCTTGTGCCTGCCCTAAGTGAAGGCGGGCCTGAATAACCACAAGAGGCCTATTTTCAACATTTTTCCATATGTGGGTACATAGACAGTCGCAGCATGCCAGTTGGTTGCAGGGAAACGTGAGCCTCCAGGCTCTTTCCAGAAAACAGGGACTGCGCTGTACTGTTGAGCCCAGGGCCGGGTGGTTGCGCCCTGGGCACACGCAGCGTGAGGCCGACACATCACGCAGCGGCCACGGACGAATGAGAAAGCAGCATTGTCGTCACACAATCTCGCGAGCCAATGAGAATGTGGCCAACCCTTGGAGCCTGGGAGGCAACCTATACGTCCCCAACCGAAAAGGGCCCAGGCCCTTAACTGTTGAGGTGGGCCTGGGTGCAGAGACTGCGGCCCAACTGGAAGCTACTGGAGACTTCCTCAGCCAGGCCCAGGCAGACACACACAGGGGCTGCACTTTCCATAAAGGAAAGAGGCCAGCCCAGGGAGAGGCATTCTGGCCTAGGCAGGCAATGCGGACATGCTGATGCGTTGCTGCGCAAGTGTCTGCATGGGCGCTTCTGGTCGGATGCGCGCACGGGCGCTGAGGTGAGGGGCGCTGCAAGGGCTGCGGGCGCACAGCGGCCATAGCTGGGCTGCAGGGGTGCAAGGCAGGTGATGGCGAAGGTGGTCTTCGGGTAGGAGGTGTATGCTGTGGGGAGACGAGGGGTGATGACAAGAGGAGAGAGAACGTACCTGGTGTATGCTGGTGATTGGCATTGGTGTTGACGTCACGTACATTGGTCTTCGACTTCAGAGTGATCCAGTTGCGAGAACGAAGATAGGTTAGATAGGCTCAATAGGATAGGCTGGGCGCTGGGCGCCAGACAGGAAGTGCGACATTGTATATAGTGTTGGTGTGACCAGACAGTGGCGACATTGACATTCAAGTTCATTGTATTGCTCTTATTTGCGGTATCTTGGTGCATTGCACTCTCTGCTTGGTTCATGGCTATCTGAGCTACTTCGTGATTTTGCAACTTGGATTTCTGTCGATCGCTCTTGCTCATATTCCTTGCAATTTGATATCAGAGCTGGTTTGAGATCGCCCTTACTGGCGCTGGCAACATTGTTACTTGGTGCGTCGACGAAGCTTCCATGCAGTGAGGATACATTGGTGCTGGCAATTATGGCCACTCCCGGATAGAGGGGAGGCTGGTGTGGGAGATGTGATCCAGTTGCGAAACTTGGATAGGTTAGATAGGCTGAGTAGGATAGGCTGGGCGCTGGGCGCCAGACAGTAAGTGCGACATTGTATAGTGTTGGTGTGACCAGACAGTGGCGACATTGACATTCAAGTTCATTGTATTGCTCTTATTTGCGGTATCTTGGTGCATTGCATTCTCTGCTTGGTTCATGGCTATCTGAGCTACTTCATGATTTTGCAACTTGGATTTCCGTCTATCGCTCTTGCTCATATTCCTTGCAATTTGGTATCAGAGCTGGTTTGAGATCGCCATTACCGGCGCTGGCAACATTGTTACTTGGTGCGCCGACGAAGCTTCTATGCAGTGAGGATACATTGGCGCTGGCAATTATTGCCACTCCCGGGTAGAGGGGAGGTGTGACGAGCGCGAGGCTGAGGGAGACAGGGAGAGCCGAGGGAGAGGGGAGAGAGAGGGAGAGAGTGAGAGCACACACACACACACACACACTCACTCGACACGACTCAGGGTCGGACGCAGACACAGTGGCAAGGACACAAAGTAGAAGTCTTGGATTCCGAATGCCGAAAACAGGAGCAAGTCCCACTGAGTACGAGTACAGCAGCTGAAACTGGTACGAGACTGGTTGCCCGTATTGTACGGGGAACCGGTATAAGTGTCGGTGACACGTACGGTACCAGGGGCATCTCTGCAAAAGCCCAGAGGGCAGAACTGAAAAATGCGGTATTTGGAAGTGGCGCCCGAATTGTAGCATGGCGCCAGTTGTCCAAAATCCAACGGTACCAAAGGAGGGGTTTGGAAAAAGGGTGCCAGGCCAAAAACGGGATGTAGCAAAAACAGCAACAAAATAGACCAGGGGTCGAGCCCTAGCGGAGTCCGTAACACTATCCCCTCCCTTTGAAAGGCAACCTCCCGGCTGCCAAAAACCTAAGGAAACAAAAAAGGAACTGTGAAGGACGGGACGAGGTCTCTCACTGGTCGGAAAAGGAGAGGGGGAGTGATTCAAGTCACAGGGTATTTTGTCAGATGTTCTGCACAGGTGAAGGTATGATGTAACTGGGTAGGTCTACCGGGGAAGCTAAGAAATGTTCAGGGAACAGGGGATTTCTATTGATGTTCTACTGGGTAAGGGGAAACAATGTCCTAGAAAACAGGGAATTTCTATTGATGTTCTAGTGGGTGAGTGCAGCGGGCCTTCATCTGCCCTGGCCTACAGCCAGGGCCTATTTGGCTATTTGCCAGTTCGGCCTGTGGGACCAGGCCGTGGCCTGACCCCACAGGCCGTATATTGTTTGCCGTATATTGTTTCAGTCCAGTCCAGTCCCGCCCGGTACCACGGTCGGTACCAGGCCAGTCCAGTCCAGTCCAGTCAGTCCGCTGGGGGTATACCCCAGCTGCAGTCTGTTTTTCGGGA